AGTGGAAAGTTTTGAGCTTCCAATATGCATTCTGTCACCTCCTGTATGACAGTACGGGTAGTAGTCCTCATGTACAAGGAATTGTCTTGTACAATGACCATCTGCAATTCATGACAGTCACGGAAAAGTAACTTTACAATCCATCCTAGCATTTATGGCTTTTGCAGGTCTGTAAAGCAAAGGCAAGCTGAAGTAAGATCATAAGCCCAGTCACTGTTTCCCTTAGCAATTGCTTTGCTTAATGATTTGAGTTGAGAGTCCCAATTGTGCTATAGGAGCAGGACTACCTATATGCCCAGTATGTAAATTGCCTCTCTCCGTTTCAACTCCCTTTGCACTGGAACAGAGATACAAAACTTCAGATGTTCTAAAGGCTGACACGCCCCCCCCTTTCCAAATAATGTTTACCCTCTAAGTCTGACATGGTGGCTTCTCTCAGGCTTGCCTTTCCCAGCAACTTGGCTGCCTCTTCGCACTGTCTCCGACGTGTGGGATACTCGCTGCCTGTCAAAGTGTGTCGTACATTGGAGTTGGTGATGAGAACAACTAAGTCTGGGTCAGTCAAAGGGACCAGGCGAGTTTCCAAGGACCTTGAATAACAAGAAGACATAACTAGACCACATGAAATGATGCTAAAGGTGGTTGCTGAGTTTAGTTAGTTACTTATACATAAGAAATACCGAAATGAGCTGTCATTATAAACCAAAGTGCACTGCCCACATAAAACAACTTTACAGATTCAATGCTTTAAACCAGAGGTAGGCAACCTTGGTTCTTTTATGACTGGTGGACTTCAACTCCCAGAATTCCTGAGCCAGCCATGCTGAGGGGAAAGGGAGAGGTTTCCAAGCTGAGCCATGCTGGCTCAGGAATTCTGGGAGTTGAAGTCCACAGGTCATAAAAGAGCCAAGGTTGCCTACCCCTGCTTTAAACTTTAAATATGCTTTCTGAATTCTAAAACGGATATGAGTTCGGTATGTGTTATATTCTAACAATTTCTAATATTCTATAAAAAATATTCATACAATCATTAAAAATTGGATCTTAAACATCAACTTAAAGGATATGGATTTAGCTCTATCCCCAGCCTCAGCAACTCACCCAGTGCTTAAGGCGGAAGGGTTATCTGAATGCCCTTTGAGAATTTTATTCCACAAATACTTTACAGGAAGGTTTTTTTTTTTTACACAGCAACATTATCCTTCTCTTTTGAATACTGTGAGCCTAGTTAAATGAGATAACTGATGTGTGGAGATGTGATCTCTCTACGTAGATGGAAGAAGTTACAAGAGAACGACTATTGCCACATTCTGACCTGCAGTCTATCAGCAAGGCATGTCCTTCCTTCCCCATCACGGAGATAAATTGGTCCATGATACCACAAGGCATCATTGCAAATGTGTGTTCCGCTTTCTGGCACACCAGTGCCTTAGTAACTGGATCTCTGTCATCTGTACCAAGGAAGAAAAATATCCACTGACAGTTTAGTACTTTATTTCCATATAAAGGAGAGACAGAAACATAAAAAAATGATATTCATTTATCAAAACAAGCCAAAACATGAAGATGCATAAAAAGTGCAGCCTTCTAGTGCTTGTTTTCCAGGATTTGAGCTCTTCAGAATGGGCATGGCCAAGAAATTCAGCCCATTGTTCTCTTCCTATTACACAGGAATCTCCCCAGAGTGGCAGATCTCATCTGGAAATGAGCAGATAAAGCTCTAAGGCATTTGGGGAGATCACACCTAGCCCTCTTACGTTTATATAATGAATCCAGGCTGATTCCTTGCTTGAACCCTCCTCCCAACAGGGATAGTTGTTCTCCAAAAATCCTTGATATGTTGTGTGAATTCAGCTGCTGTGCTTTGTAAATGACTAATGCCTTAGAGCAGGGGTGTCAAACTCGCCGCGTCACGTGATGTGTCACGTCGTATCTCGTCTTTTTTTCCCTTGCCAGAGCTGGGGTGGGCCCGGCTTCCACGTGACACATCTGGCCCGTGGGCCAGCAGTTTGATACCCCTGCCTTAGAGGGTCATTCACTAACTAAATTCTAATTCACTATTTTGTTTTTAACAGTGACCATGGAGATGCTTGAAAAAGAGAACACCAGAACCTATACAGGTCAGTCTTTCTCCATCTAGCCTGGTGTGTTCTTCCATGAGTGGTAGCAGCTTTCTAATTTGGCAGAGTATTCCTCAACAGTTTGGAGTTGCCAGGAATTGCAACACATATCTACAAAAGTTCTTGAGCTGTGGTCAAGTCTCAAGTCAGTCTCATTTAGCTAAAAAAAAGTCAAAAAAGAAGTAGAAATTTCAGGTTGAAAAATATACCTCAGACCAGCCTTCTAAAGGGCTACTGCAAAAATCTGGAATTGGTTGATGGCAGCAAAGAAAGGCAGGAAACATTCTTTGCTTCCATTTCAATGTCTGCATTTTATACCTCAGTCCCTAGCCTTCCCCAACATGGATGTTCTCCAGATGGGTCATTTTCTATCTCAGAATTCCCAATAATGCTGGATGTGTTGAAACCAATTTTCTTTGTTCTAATATTTTTCTACAGTTATTTTGAGGATAAATATATTTCAAATGTCACTGTTGGCACCCTAAACTGGTAAGCGTTCTTTTACATTCTTTTCCTGGTAGGTTATGGTCTGGGTTTGGGAAATAAAGCTTTATGTTCCCCTTCTCTCTCATTAACTCAGATTAGTTGGCTAAAACATTAACAATAACCTTGAACTGATGGAAAACACAGGAGACAGATATGAAAACCAAAATGCACCTTGTTTGTTTATTTAAAGAACGATTTAAATCACTAGAGCTTCTCCTTTTCTTTCATGGTTATTGTTTTTTCCATCACTTTAACTTGCCCCACCATCAACTGCCTCTTATTTCAATCCTTCCCTCTCGAAGTTGAAAGGAAGGAAGGAAGGAAGGAAGGAAGGAAGGAAGGAAGGAAGGAAGGAAGAAAGAAAGAAAGAAAGAAAGGAAAGAAAGAAAGAAAGAAAGAAAGAAAGAAAGAAAGAAAGAAAGAAAGAAAGAAAGAAAGAAAGAAAGAAAGAAAGAAAGAAAGAAAGAAAGAAAGAAAGAAAGAAAGAAAGAAAAGTGTTAATACCACTTTACAATAGCCACACTTGGAATACTGCATTCAGTTTTGGTCACCATGATGTAAAAAAGATGTTGAGACTCTAGAAAGAGTACAGAGAAGAGCAACAAAGATGATTAGGGGACTGGAGGCTAAAACATATAAGGAACGGTTGCTGGAATTGGGTATGTCTAGTTTAACGAAGAGAAGGACGAGGGGGGACATGATAGCAATGTTCCAATATCTCAGGGGCTGCCACAAAGAAGAGGGAGTCAAGCTATTTTCCAAAGCGCCTGAAGGCAGGACAAGAAGCAATGGGTGGAAACTAATCAAGGAGAGAAGCAACCTAGAACTAAGGAGAAACTTCCTGACAGTTAGAACAATTAACCAGTGGAACAACCTACTCCAACACTGGAAGTTTTTAAAAAGAAGACTGGACAGCCATTTGTCCGAAATGGTATAGGGTTTCCTGCCTGAGCAGGGGGTTGGACTAGATGACCTCCAAGGTCCCTTCCAACTTTACTATTATTATTATTATTATTATTATTATTATTATTATTATTATTATTATTATTATTATTATTAAGAAAAGAAAGAGTTTTGAGAGGAAAGGATTGAAAGAAGAGAGACAGTTGGTGGTGGGGCAAGTTAAAAATGATGAAAAAGGAAAAGAACAATTCCTTCCTTCCTTCCTAAGATGTATCCAGTTAGTACTTCACTTGCTTTAAGGAAAATGCAAGTAATCTGCTGTTTCATCACAGGCATAGTATAATTCTTACCAGAGGAGAGCTGCTGCAGGAAGGTGTACACGGCCACTTCTAAGGAGGCTGAACTTGAGAGACCACCACCTATTGGTACATTACTCTCGATCACAACATCAAAGCCTGGGAGAGGGCCAGCTACAATGAAACAGAAAAACAGCACAGGGAGAAGATAACATAATTCAAGGCACGTCCCACAAATAATCTATAATTCAACTATTCTGATTTAACTAAAAATCTGTCACTGTTTGGGAAAGATGCTTTAAGAGCTACACTTCTTTGAAGGGGTCAAAAACACAATGGCTGGAATTGCCTATCCCACTGCTATCTCGGCTTTGTGGGTGATGGGAACCCATTTAATGGGTTATATGGCAACCATGGTTTAGCACCCCATTAGATGGATTTATCAGGAAAATCTTCCTAAAGACCTACCCAGAGTGAGGGGATAGGGAATATTTCAATCTCCCTATTAAATAATGTTATATTACAGTCTTTCATCGCCTCATTCCTGCCAAAGAAGAGTTTGTTGTGGGAGGGGTCACTTGGGGAAAGGGCAGAGTTTTGATTGCATGGTTATAGCTGCCATCTAAACTTTCTTGACTCCTTCCTTATGGATATCTCAACTGCCAATGTAATAACCTCGATCTTTGACTGATTTTGGATCTTACCTTTATAATGCTGGATAACCCCTTTTACATAATTAGCCCAGCGAGGTTCTCCGGGTTTCAAGGAATCATCTTCCTTTGGGACTGGAAAGTGCACAGTTTTAGGCTCTTCCGCTTCCTCTGCAGTCGTAGTTATGGATATTATTCCATCTTCCCTTGGACTCCCAACTACCACTGTTCTCATCTGTATGGCCTGAAGGAAGAGAGCACTGTATAGGGCAGCAGTGGAATATCATCCAGTCTTCCAGCAGTTGATGAACTACAACTCCCAGGTCCCCCACAGCAGGCTAGAACTGCTAAGGATTGTGGTTCTACAATATCTGGAATACAACAGGTATGGCATGCGTGCTGTAACTGAATAAAAAAGATGGGCAAGGTTTCTGGAAAAGCCTTTTTGCATGGTGTTTTCCCTTTATAAATGCAAAGGAGTACAAGAATGAATAGAAACGAGGAGGAGGAATATGAGTAGGAGTGTAGATGCAGAAGAATGACTCTTTGAGATTTTTAATTTGGTCACTATGGATAATTATTATAATGAAGAAAATCCTTTGATTTGTACCGATTTCTCCTATATATTTCTTAAAAACTTAGAATATGCCTTTGTGTAAAAACATGTTTCCCAAAATACATAATTGCTGACTTCACACATCACACCTGACTAATCTATGGCTTGACATTATGCAAACTCAGCCAGTATGATGAGTTCAATGAACCAAGGCATTTGGATTAATTTAGTTACATAAATTATGGATCAGCATGTTGTCAAGCTATTTTTTCCCCCAAACAATGTTGATATTATTGCAAAATGGTGTCTAGCTCCGCCTACCAGATATCCTCAAATCAGAGCTGGAAAAAATGATAGGAAAATGAGTTTGGAGAGGCAGAGGGAATCTTACAGCACACATAGAGATATCTGCTTCCATCAAACTGGATAGAGTCTACTGTTATTCAAATGTTCATAAATTGCCATCACTGTACAGGATATCTTGTACAGTACAAAGAAATAAGTGGCTTACAATTTCAAATGAAGCCCCACAGAGGAACAGAGAATATGCAATTACTCCATTTGTACTTCTTTAGGATCCGGGTGAGATTTTTATTATCCAATGGGCATTATAGTTCAATATATCTAATGGACTGAAGTAGGTACCATCCCATAATAAGTTCTGGAAAGTACTTCCAAGCCTAGGGTCCACAGACGTAGAAAGAGTAGAACTTCTTTAGAAAGCATACTTTCAGTTAGGAGAGGGTGATCAAAGATATTTTGGGATTTAAGAGTAGATTTTTAGTAAGATATTAATGTAGGCATTCCAAAATTTAGCTGTCCCTTTAACTTGTAATGGAGGCAAACGTCTTAAGAACCATTTCTAGATGCAAACAGATTCAGTAAAGGGGGAAAAAAGAAACCACTTTGCATACAGTATAGCACATTATACTGTAGTAAGCTGTAAACAATAAAACTACATTCTAATAGAACGTGCTGTGCAAACCTAGCCTCAGGTTAACTCAGTGTGTGTTGTACACATAAAGGTTTTGGAGTTATTTCAAGAAAACTAGGTTCAGTGAATATCTTCGGATGTTGTCAGAACAGCATTTTCACACTCGGGAACTTCATGTCTTGCTAAATTTTTAAAGATATTTCTTCATCCAGTAAAAATTTTGCAACAGGAAATCATAATGTTTAGAGATAAACTTCAACTTTTTAAGGAACATTTACCTTTGAATTCATTACTATGTTAGGGAAGGGCAATGAAAGCATAACTTGAAAAAAATAGCTTAGCATTTTCTATTTAGTGAATATTTAACTCCACGTTTGCGCAATCCAGCCAGGCTTAACTCTGCTGGACGTGGAAAAGATCAAAAATATTCCTGAAAGGAGCCAAATCTTTAATGGTAGTCTTCAGCAGCTTCGCCTACCAGTGACAAAAAATAATCTCTTTAAATACCGGCATTTCCATAGTTAGGAACAACATTAGTATCTTAATGGCAGACGCGGCTTTTTTATTCTCCTCCTCTGCATCTATGAAGTCAACAAGAAGGAATTTCACGAGATGTCTTTGGAAAATCCCCATAAAACTGGAAGAAGCACAGCCGAAGTTATCTGATTTTTCTGCACGGCTTTGCTTCCTTACCATAGGCAGCACGAAACCTTGATTGTAATCGGTGTGCTCTCCGATCAAATTTACCCTTCCGGGCGCCGACACTGCAATTTTAGGATCTTCCCCGCCATAAACCCTTTTATACACTTCCCGAGCGGCTGCCAGTAGCGACCCCACTGGGTTGGATTCTCTCTCTTTTTCCATGATCCCGATCTACTTGCAAGTTGCAGGCTCGAGTATTAAAACTACCGTCCCCGGAAAGAGCGAACCGGTGATCTGCGCAGACGCGCGACTGCTCTCACTTCCAGCATCCGCGTTCTGATCAAGGCCCGCCCTCTCGGCGTGCCTTTTGTCGGGCGTCCAGCTCGTTGCTCCACCAGCACAGCTCCTATGTGTCCTGTAGGGGTCGCTGGTGTAACTTCAAATCTTGTCTTCGCTTTCCTGGGTTTCTTTCGTAAAGAACTCTCTGCGCTTTTTATCTCCGCTGCAAAGCAGCGTCCTGGTACTGAGGGAACGAAAGTGCAAATCTACCAAAAAAAAAAAAAAGGCTTTGCTGTAGTTTGCGTAAATAATGATTGGTTATTTCTAAGTTAATGTTCTTTGAAGGGTGGAGCATAAATAAACAAAAGTGCAAAGAAAACAAAAACCTCTCTACTGATTACTAATTAACTAAGAGTAATATCTTGGACTCCTTAAAAGTTCAAGTTAACTGCCTAATAACCTGAGCAGAAAATGCTTTCAGAATTTGCAAAATCATTTGATGTATGTATCATTAGGACTATTTCTTACCAACCACATAACTACAATAGATCTTCTCCAGGATGATCTGTCCTCAAAATGGCTCTTAGGCACAAACCACCATTGTAACTGAGTCCATTCACCTTGCTGCTCTTTGCCCTCTTTCCGGCTTCCCATCACAAGAGACTTTTCAAGGGAACTGAGTCTTCCTGTATTGGGTCCAAAATATGATAATTTGGGCCCAGTCATTTGTGCTTTGAATGCGAATTCTGGACTGATTTGTTTTATGATCCATTTGTTTATTTTCTTGTCTATCTGTGGTATTCCAAATGTTTTCTCCAACACCAACATTCAACACTTGTTATGACAGTAGGACAAGTTCATGTTATTTTTAAGGCAGTGGCCCCAACCTTTTGAGCACCAGGGACTGGTTTTGTGGAGAGAGGTTTTTCCGCAGACTGGAGGGACATGTTTTGGTGTGCTGCCTGCATCCCATGGATGGGGCTTCACATGTTTCTTGGATCAGTTTCTGGCATGCTGCAGTCCAGTGCTGGTCCACAGACCGAGGGTTGGAGACCCTGTTCTAAGGTATCTTGGATATTGACATTCCTAATATATAGAATTTCAATATATTTCTTCTTTGTTTGATCTTTGAATCAGTTACTATCTATTTATTGGTGTTCTTTCATATACCAATTTGAGTTTGGAACTTCTTTCTCAATTTGAAGGGGGGAAGATTTTCTTTGTTTTTCCATGACTGTTTCCATCTTCCTTGTCTTTACGGATGTTGATACTATCTTCTAAAAGATTTATAAAATTATGCAATAGAATCTTGGGGAGTTAACAGTAACATAGAAGATATGGAATTCTAGAGAATTAAAACCATCACAGACAAGCAAAGTGCCATAGCACTCCTATGTGTAGGACTCAACTCACAAATACAATAAAAAAAGAGAACATTTGTGAACTAGGAAACAATCTGATTGCACTCAGTAGTGAAGTCAGATGCCTAGTTAACCTTTGTAGAATCTTTATTGTTATGAAGAAAAACCTGCCAAACTTGGCAGGCAACTTATGCTGTGTACGTGGCAGCCAGCCTCATTGGGGTTAAAAACTGCTGTTGGTGGCCTCCTTCCTGTAGTTCTTATTCCTTTCTAGAATTTGTGACTGATTGAAAACAGCTGGCCTCAAAAGAGCTACATTCAAAGACAAGGAAGGTATTTAACAAACCTATTAGCCACATGCATCATGAAGATGTATGATGACAGATAGACCGTCCACTGTAAAACATTCAAGTGAAGTTTGATGTCTGCTGATTTCATGGACATGCCCATGCAGGATTTTGTTTTGTTTTGTTTTTTTAAAAAAGTCAGATTTACCCTTGCCACCTTCGAAGATGTTTCTTCCGCTTCCTATTCTGCTTTACATCCAGGGCCAGCTTTAGGTTAAGGCCAAGTAGGCACTGGCTTAGCTGCCAAAATTTAGGGGGCTTTGCCAATGCTGCTTTTCCTTCTGTATCATTCCAAAAAGGAAAATCTTGTATTTTGGCAGAAGATGGTGACATTCAATCAATGTGGCTTAGGGGCAACACAGACCCTTGAGCTGACCTTGCTTACAACCTTGAATTTCCTGTTGGTTTCCCATTCAAGGATTCCACGGGCATTCTGCTCCAGGTTAGACCTTGCTCGGCTTTCCAAATGAGCCAACGTCGGTTAGTAAATTTTGCCACTTGTCTGGGCTCTCAGTTTTAGCTCCGTATTAAGGAGATTTCATCGAACAACAACTGATTCCTGGCGAGCAGTGGCGGGGCAAAACACCAACGCGAAAGGGATGGGAGAACAATTAGTTATCCCGGAAGGTCTAACGACGTTAATCATATCCGGGAAGGATACACACTGAACTTTTGGGCTTATTTTCACCTCTCTCCAAACCCTGGCAAGTTCGACTGAGCCGGCCCGAAGATCGCTTCCATTCTCTTTCACACACTCCCCCGCCGGAGAAATGGTACCTTCCAGAGTTTTGCCTGCCGCCGGGTGTTTGACGAAGAAAGTCGCTCACGGACAGTTTTCATCGGGCGGAGGCGGGAGCGGAGGCTGCGTCCGAGACGCTGGGCTGAGCCAGAGTCTGGGGAAGGCAGAGCGGAGCAAAACAAAGTAGGATGAGTGGGAAAGAGCCGCTCTTGGGCGCTCTGAAAGGTGAGTGAGTGGAAAGAGAGACTCGTGACGGGTCGTGCGAAGAAGGGGTGTTTGAAAAACGAAGTGTTGGCGAGAGCCGAGTAGCCGTCTTACGTAGCGTTTGGGGCTTAAATGGAGCGGGGTTCCGATGGTCACCCAGTTGTCATGGAGAAGAAAAGCCCTGTAGAGATGTCAGATGAAAGCAGTTGGTTCTTTGTTAGAACATTGGTACCGCCGAACCGGACACGTGTTCTCCGCTCCCTACGTTCAAGTGATTACAGAACTCTATTCTCATTTGTGACAATATTTAAGATTGGATTTCTAGATTCCAGTTAAGAAGGGGATGGAATCGGGAAACTGCCCACCAGAAGTCCAAGCAAAGTGTGCAGGATAAATGCTGGGGTTGGGACATTTTATAGTCAATTACAGGTCTCTCTCTCCCCCCACCCAGTAATATGTTCACCCAGTCATGAAAACTTGACAAGATCATGGTAGACACACAGATGTCCTTCATACATGGGGATACATAGAAGAGACAATTTCATGTTTGCTACTACTTTGTTACTACTGTATAGATATGCAGGTAAGAAACATCACCTCCAGTGTCCTGCTTAACTAAAAATATTTTTAGTCATATTGGGTTACTTCATTTAATGTCCTGTCCATAGCTGTAGCCATTTTTGATGCCCAAGGACAAAAATGTGTATGGAATAACTATTAGAGTAATTTCTTATTGTTGTCTTCATGTCAGCCTCTACTTTTTAAAATACTATTTCCTGCTAGTTGTTGATGACCATCAGTAAGAAACTAGGGGACTGTATTTTTGTCAAGCCACAAACATTGGTTTTTTTTCTAACTAGATAGTTACTGGACTAGCCCAGAGAGAAAAAATGTGCAAATACTGAAGTTCTCACTGCTCCTTTTCCATAAAGGAAAAGAAAAAAAAACTGCAGTACAGTTGTAAACCCTCTTATATTCTATAGGATTTTTCCCAAAGTAAATCAGATAGGATTGTAGCCTAAGTGTGCAAACACACAGGATAAAGTATTTTTTTTCCTAGAAGAACGATGTTTTATCATTTTTTTTCTTGAATCACACTAGTATAGATTGGTTTGCATGACATAACATGAACTTTTCTAAGGTCTGAAATCATGTGAAGCTAACAACTTAATTTCCTATCAATATCTTGTAAGAAATATGTGCAACTATTACCAAGAAAAATACTACGTCTTAATTTCTGTAGTGGCTCTTACTTGTATGAACAATATGTATAATTATGTTTAGTTTTTGTCTCAAGACATAAAAGCTTCATAGATTACAGATCTCCCCATATATCTATTTTTTGCAGTGACATACTGGGGATTGTTAAAAATGATCACTTTGATTTTAAGTTATTTCTTCATTAATGATTTGTCCTATGGGTTTCCTTATCCTTTTTCTTCAAACTAGTCTTGCATGTCCCTACCTGGACATAAATGACATGGAACAGAGTGGGATTTACTTCAGTAGACACGTATAGGATTTTATTGCGATTTTTATTTTTTTGCCTGCATTCACATAACACACTAAACCACAGTTTTGAACCATGGTTTATACAGTACTGAATGAACCTATGGTCTGACAACACAAACCATGAACTTGTTCTTTGGGGGACCTCCTGGACTCACAGCTCCTGTTTGAAGAGCAGGTTGCATTTATGGCTAGGAGCACTTTTCTTCAGCTTCATGTTGTATATCAGTAATGCCCTTTCCTAGATAGGGAAGCTTGCCTCTTGGTCGTTCATGCCCTGGCCATCTCTCATTCGGTCTCTCATGCTATTGCAATGTGCTCTACATGAGTTTACACTTGAAAAGTACCCGGAAGCTTCAGCTGATACAAAATGTGGCCATGTGAGCAATCTTGGGCACCAAAGAACAGTGCATGCAACGCCTCTGCTGCCTGAACTGCATTGGGTGACAGTTTGCTTCCAGATCCAATTCAAGGTGCTGATTATGACATTTAAAACTCTACATGGCATGGGACCAGATTACTTATGGAACCATCTTTGTCCCTTCATATCAGTCCATTCTGCCTGGTCAGGCAGGGAATTTATACTGCGGACCTCGTCAGTTAAAGAATTCCAACTGGTAGGGTCCAGGAAGAATGCCCTTTGCTGTTGCCCACTGCCTTTTGAAATATTCTCTCCCCCCCCCCCCCCCGTCCCCAGAGGCAAGGCAGGCCTCAATTCTCCTGGCCTTTCAAAAATATCTAAGGACCTGGCTCTGCCATCTCATTTAGGGTTCACAAAGGAGACAAAACCATGGGCTGGTTAGTGCCCTGAAGGCCCTCCCCACCCCCACTTTTATTTACCTTTTAATGTTAAATTTTGCTATCCTTGCCTCTATTTTAATTTTTTTATATTCAGTTTTTAATGTTTTAATATTTTATTTGTACACCATCCAGAGTTCTTCTGTGAGGGAGATGGATAGTTTCTAAATTTGATAAATAAACTTAACCACATAGGTTGGGTTCATACAATACACTGCACTACAATCTAGTTCTCAGTAAGTAGTATGTATACCACTGGTGGGACTTAGAAGTAATCTAGATGGGCCTTGATTACTTGGTTATAGGAAATGATAAGTGTAACAACAGTGCCTAGAAGAATATAAATGATGGTGATAGGGGATAAAGTGGGCTTTTAATTTCAGTTATGAGGGATCTAGTTATAATAGTTGTGAGAAATGCACATTTGGAGGAATCTACCATTGCTCGTGGAAAACAAGAAGGATCTGGAGTGGCTTTGACTCCTGAGACTCAAAAATGAAAGTGAAAAATTTGGATTGACCTTAACATCAAGAAAACAAAGATAATGACAACTGCGGAGAACATACAGATTGTATGATCAACAATCTGTTGATACATACATACATTGAAATAGTAAAGGAATTCATTTTCCTGGAATCTAAACTATAAAGTCCTAGACTGAACCTCACCAAAGATATTACCTGAAGCCAAGATCACGAAACAAGGACTGTCATATTTTGGCCATGTCATGCTAGCTGACTCACTCAAAAAAATCAGTCATGCTGGAAGCGATCAGCAATCAGTGGAAAAAGGAGAAGGGGCCACCCTAGTATCCATTGGCTGGACCCTATAAAGGATGACACCAGGATGACCGTGGTGGATCTGAAAGAGGCAGTGAGAGACAGAGGAGCATAGAGAGTGCTGATCCATAGAATTGCCAAGGCTCGGACACAACTGAATGATTGATGACAATGACAATAATGGAGCCTAAGCTAATTGATATAGGGTGACTGATTGATATAAATGTTAAGAATTACTCATAAAGTGAATCCATGTTAGCTCAACATTTTATATATAGACAGGTATTATAGTCTGTTCCTGCAAATTCATTTCATATAAAAAACTGAATACTAAGCAGTTGGGATTATATTAATGAGTTTCAATTGTATATTCAGTGCACTTTCTGGTGCAATCTTAAACTATTTACCAGCTGGGTGTTCCTTGCAGTGTTGGTTTGAAGACTGCAGAAATCAGAATGATCATTAGATAGCAGCAAAGAATTAGTCTTCTTTATTTCTCTGCTACCATCTAGTAGTGGTCCAGATTTTGGCAGCCCAGATATGATAATTCTATGTAAACACATGTACCACATTGTACCATGTTGAACATTTTGGCAGAAGGTGAGATAATTGTTATAAATATTCAAATAAGTACACAGTCATCATCTTTATAGACAGAGGGAAAAGGACATAGGATCTGTTATACAGTACTGTTATTCCGTTTAGTAAACAAAAAAATAGCAGGAAGAACTCTTTTCTAAAATAGTCAATGAGTTTAATAGGTGGAACTTGTATTCAAAGGAACAGTCAATATTTGCACCATCACGCCTATGGTTGATGGCTTTTTGCACACATTCTTATTTATATTAAATATTTCTTGCTTGCTTTTGTAGGTCCAAAGTAGCAAAAGCATTTTACAAAAACAGCGAATACCATAAATTAGTCTTTGTGTGCAAATGCAATTAAAAGGGAAGTCAGCCACCTTAAAACATTTCCAATGGATATGCTCTTACTAATGAAATTAAAGCAGAAAGAGAGAAGGAAGTAAAATCCTATACCTGCTTCCTCAGAAAAATTGAGCCTTACTGAGTGTAATGAGAATTGCATCTAAGTAAGTGTGTCCAGCACAATTTAAATAGGCAAATCACTTGATTTAATCTGTTTAATCTGCTTTAATCTATTGATTTCCGATGTGTTTTCAGCCAGCAATTAAGGTTTTGAAACTGGAAACTCCAAATTCTTTCTTCCAAATAAACATATGATTGCTTGATTTGCTGTATGTTGTAATTTATTTCAAGTTTACTTGTTCCTCGTTTGCTATGCCTAAATTGCAGATGGGGACAACATGACATTTCTGCACCTTATCATCTATAAAATTGCCTAAACTTTCAGTCAGGTTTAAGAGATCTCTTTTTATCCCCAGTGTCAGAGTTCAGTGAAGCCACTACATTGAAGAGAAAGAATGGGTTTTTAAATAATTCTAAATAATTGAGATAATGTATTAACATTTTTACTCTATAAAATGAGAAAAAAAGATTTGTCCCCAAAATCAACATGTACAGTACTGTATTTTCAAAAAAGGATTTTTTTCTACAGCTATTTTAACTCCTGTTACTGCAGTCTGCATTCAAAATGCAGTTTTATAAATTCTATTTTCTTGCAGTGTGCATTCTCAACTTTCAGGAAAGCAATAGTCCTTACACAGATACCTGTCCTCATTTACAATCCTTTTGTGAGATCCTGGAAATGATTCTTCGGAAAGGATTAAAACGTGAGTAATGTTTTTTGCTCCATAGCTTAATATTGAGAAGTACACTTGAAAAATTTGTTGGTTTTGAAGGCCTGATTTACAGAAAGTCATGCTAATGAGGAAATATTTTTCTTGAAATCAAAAAGAAAAGCCTAGATCTAAAAATATTTGCCTCAGTATAGAGTCTGACTAGCATGAGCAATACCAAATTATTGTACGTTGGGCAGTAGCAACCACTGGCTATGAGCATGGTTTATTCCACTAATGGATTAGAAAGGCTATAAGGCAGTGGTAGCATTCAGCCAGTTCGCACCACTTTGGCAGAACCGGCAGCTAATTTTTTGTTGCCCAGGCCCAGAATGGACTTCCAGAAGTGGCATTCACACAGACAACTGGTTGTTCACATATTTGAATCCCACCACGGCTATAAGGTAATGAATTAGTAATGAATTAGAAAGGATATAAGAAGTCATCCTTTGAACCAGGAGTCTCCAAATGTGGTAACTTTAAGACTTGTGGATTTCAACTCCCAGAATTCCTCAGACAACCAAAATTCAAATCAAGATTTCTTTGTACGTATTTTACATATTTAATCTATTATTAGATTAAATAATAATATTAGTATTATTGATTCAATATTCTTCTTCAGGATTCAAACTTTAACAGTTCTGTAAAGTATAGTTTGCGAAGCATATGGCACCATTAGGAAACTGTTGCATGTAACATTGATAAAGTTCATGTCTTGCAGGTTTCAAGGATATATAAATATGAGTAATCAAACTGTAGTTTGTGCGAAAGACCCCCAAAATTGTTTTTAAATAATAAAACACTTCTTTACAATTGGGGAAGGCACAAAACATTGATGTGTGCACAAAATAGAACCAGGTCATTGTCTGCCAAATCACTCTGAACCCAAGGTATCATCTAATTGTAGGTCTGCTAAAATGACTATCTCTTATAAAAAGTCCTATGCTGGGAGGTAAGGGATATAATCATCTCTCAATCTTACCATTCTTGCTAAACGATGTCTTTTGCCCACTTCAGAGCCAGTCCTGGGGTTCAAGAGGAAGGACTATTGGCACTGGCTAGAGCAGCTTCCACAGCAGGAGACCCACCACAGGTGGGTGGTCTCCTGTAGCCTTTGATGATGCTGTAAACGGGAACTCAGAATATTGGATTCTATTCTCTCACTGTTGCAATTTGAACTCAAAGTTCCCAGACTTGATTTCCTTCTATCGTTCCTATCCAATGAAATCTCACGTCAGCTGGAAATAATAGGAGTTGTAGTCCCAAATTGAAAAAGTAGGAAATGGCGAGTCAGAGATGCTCTAACTTAATGCCTCTCATACTTGTTACAGGTTTCACTGACACCGTACCCATGATTGCTTTTGAATTAGGCATGGAGAAATTGTGTTTTTTGTTATTTTATAAGCTTCAACATAATTTTAACGAACAGTAGGGTGAAATATTTTCTTTTTGTGAGGAAGTCACAGCTGCTAAAATCTCTGACTTGCTTCAGAGAAAGGATTCATGGAAGGCACATACAAGTAATCCTCATTCAGTGACCACTTGTTCAGCGACCATTCAAAGTTGAATAAGAGGACACATAACTGTTCCTCATAGTGCAGAATCCCTACAGGCACATGATCCCAATTTTGGTGCTTGGCAACTGCTTGCAGTTATGACAGTTGCAGCATCCCAGAGTCACATGATCACCATTTGGAATCTTCACTGCTGGCTTCTGACAAACCAAGTCAACAGGGAAGCTGGCAGGAGATCACAAATGGCAATCATGTGACCACAGGACACTGCAACTGTGCAGGATTTGCCTAATGATGGCAGTTGGAATTGCCTCAGCTGCCATTGTAAGTAGACATGGTCATGTGATGTCATGTTTTACAATTGCAGCACACAACAAATGGCGGATCTCAATTGCCATCGTTAAGGGAGGACTGCCTGTATTATTTTGCGCCTATTTTAACACTATTGAAACAACATTTAAAAATACTCAATAGCAGAGACTGTGGTAACAAGAACTTTTCCACTTGTAGTAGAACCCTTCTATCCATGATGATTGAGAAAACGAGTTCTTGTGAGAAGGTGCTGACAGCTCAAGGAAGAGGGCGGTACTTCCTGCGTCTGGCTTTGAATGGGAAGTTATTAGCAGTTGCTGTTCAGCAGCTCATCAAAACTCCCAGGCTGCTTGAGGTGATTACATAATTCAAAGGAATTAAGATAATTTGAATAATTACCATACTTTGATTTGTGTCTTTGTCTTTTTGCTTGAGGCCTGTCCTTGAAAACTAGATACAGGCAGTCTTCAATTTATGAACACATTTGGAACTATAATTTCCGTTGTGGGTCAATGTGGTTGTAAAGCAAGCCAGCACATGACTGGATCCAATGTTGGAATCTATGATTCCAATGTTGAAATTCTTATCTCCTATAATTAGTATGATTTTGGGGAGGAGGGGGGGTGTCAACAAGGTTTATGTGGTTGGAGAATAGATCTGTATCGTAACATTGATTGACTTGCCTTGGGCTTCAACAATCCAAGGTCAGGGGTTGAACTGGAAGACCTCTAAAGTCCCTTCTAGCCTTATGATTCTATGATTCTAACTGAGATAAGTCTATCATTTTGGTGTTGCATCCGAATACTGACTTTGACATGCTTTTCTTAATAATAACAGCTATTTTGCATATCTTTTTCTTTGTCTACAACACGGGTGTCAAACTCGCCGCATCATGTGACATGTTGCGCCGTATCGCAACTTTTTTCGCATTGCCGGAGCTGGGGTGGGCGCAGCCTCCACATGATGCAACCGGCCCGTGGGCTGGCTGTTTGACACCCCTGGTCTACAAAGATATGTTGCTTCCTGGATACAAAATGAGCCATTTCAGTTCATTTCAGTTTATTGATTTCCAAAATGTCAGTGTTTCACTTTGACATTTCTGCTCTGCTAACATCTAGTTTGTTTTGCTTTCTGTTCTGCCATTCCATGCACAAATGGTGTAGGTATCTTTGCCCCATCGATCTTTGCTTTTCCTCCCAGGCACAGCTGCATTCAGACATCACTTGAATTTTAATTACATCAAAGGACCAGTGCACCTTGTACTTGTCTTCTGCTTTTTTCTGGTAGCGCACTGGATACTTTCTTAATGGGAAGCTCATGTTGCAATATCGTGTTGACATTGTTCTGACTGGAAATGTCCAATTGCGTGGTTTTTTTTAGCAGAAAATGGAGTGGGTTACTCCACTTACGTCCTGTGAAGTCTTGACAATTTTCCAATATTCCATATTTAACATGTCAGGCCTCAAATGTACGCTTTTTGCTTGATTTGTACTCATTATCTCGTATTATCATACACATATATTTTTCAGCTTATTTAAATTATTCTTAGTGTACTGTATGTTTGTTTTTATAATCTGATTTCAGTGTTATGATCCAATAACATCCATCCTGAGCAATGAAGAATTTTCAGGTAAGATTCTGTTCTATCATTATGCTACGATCTCAAGATGCCTCCTTGAATACATCATTGTACTGTATAACAACTTTGGAAATTAATTAATTTCACCTAGCTCATGAATTTGCACATACTTTTATGCCCAGAAGGTTGGCAGCTTTTATTGTAATAGTTTTTTTTAAATATAAGTACAAGTAGTCCTCATCTTACAACAGTTCATTTAGAGACCGTTCAAAGTTACGATGGCATTGAAAAAAGTGACTTATGACCATTTTTCACACTTACGACTGTTGCATACCCAAGTGAAAGTTGGGTATGTTAGGACAAACAGAAATAAACTGAATGCAGTGGGAGAGGAAACTTAAGGACTGTGTGGTAAAACAAGGGGTTGGTCAAGAATGAATAGGTGCTAAAATATTGTTATAGACTGAGAATACAAAAATAAAGTGATCTGTACCAATAAAAAGTATGTTGTGCTTACTTGGTAATATAGCCACTCAGAATTGCTTGCTATAGCAAGATAATAGGAGCTGCGGTGGCACAATGGTTAGAATGCAGTACTGCAGGCTAACTCACTGTTCACTGCCAGGAGTTTGATCCTGACCGGCTCAAGGTTGACTCAGCCTTCCATCCTTCTGAGGTCTGTAAAATGAGGACCCAGATTGTTGGGGGCAATAAGCTGACTCTGTAAACCGCTTAGAGAGGGCTGTAAAGCACTATGGGGCAGTATATAAGTCTAAGTGCCATTGCTATAAATTTAATAAATAAAATATAGGCAGAATGAATGAATTGGACTACAGTATTTAAAATATTTGAAGGATTGAGAGGAAAGGAAGAGCAAAAGTTGTGGTTGGAAGGAACTGAGAAGTTCCTCTGAAAGAAAGGGTACACAATTATAACATCAATGTCAGTGTATGAAATAGTGTATGGATGTGGTAGAAATAAGAATATAAATATATATAGAGAGAGGAATAGTGAACAATGCTGATGAAAATTAGATGTAGCTTTATTTCCTTTTCTTATCTCAGGCCTTGATTTCCTTGGCTTAACTATAAGCAGGGCTTTTCAACCTTTTCACCCATTGTACCACTTTTAGGATATGGCAACATCCAAGTACCACCAGTCGCCTAGCAAGATGTCAAAAACTTGATGACCAAAAAAAAAAAAAAAA